TTAGCTGTCGTGACAGTATCAGTGTCTGAAGCTGGGGGCTGGCTACCAGATGTCACGGAACTCTGAGCCCTCTCCTGGTATGGGAACACTTCTGGCTGGGGACAAGCACAGGTACAGAGATTCAGGAATAATTGTGTTCCCATCACACTCATCCTGCCAGGATCCCATTTCTGATGGTGGAGAGTATTTTTAGGACTCTAGAAACATCCCTATTGGGAGCCCAGGAGGATGGGCCTTTGTCACTGTACTTTCAGCAGATGAACACTTATGGAGCACCAACTACATGCGTGAGGACAGTGTGCTAGGCTCTGGGAAATCACTGAGTAAGATCAGCTCACATTCCAGTGAGGCAGACAGACATGATCAGGTCTTTCTGGTACCACCCGATAAATGTGCGAGTGCTAGAGTGGAGCCCAGAGGAAGGAGCCTCTGAGCCCAGCCAACCTGGAGAGGTCTTCCTGGAAGAGGTGCCATTTGACGGAAGTCATGAGCCATGAGTGGGGGTCACCAGGTAGAGGAGGCTTGGAGGGATAATGGGAACCCGGAATTCGGTGCTTCTCCCATCCCCCATAGTTTTATTACTCTTCAGTGAAACCCTCCTGGGCTGTGAGAAAAAGAAGCACTGTTTCTCAAAAGCATAAGGAATCATCGAAAAATATGTGTTTGTTTCAAATGGAAGTGACCACTGCCAGAAAAACAACCTTGTTTTATCAGAACCTAGTCTGTATTTATTCCTTAGTCTTTGTTTAATTAAGTTAATCCCTCAATGTTTTCCCTTGGGACAGTGCAGATCCTAGTGGCCATAAATCCCCAACGTTATAAAAACAGTATGGGGACGCCTGGGAGGCTCAGTTGTTAAGCGTCTGCCTTCGGCTCAGGTCATGATCCCAGGGTCCTGGGATCGAGTCCTACATTGGGCTCCTTGCTCAGTGAGGAGCCTGCTTCTCCCTCTCCCTCTACTGCTCCCCCTGCTTGTGCTCTCTCTCTCTCTCTCTCTCTGACAAATAAATAAAAATCTTAAAAAAAAAAAACAGTATGAAAGTACAACACACATGGAGCCAACTGGCACGCATGCTGCTTGTGGGGCCGGCTTTCTGGAATGCGAGCGATGAGCCTCCTGGTCCTACCACACTCTGCACCCTCATGTAGTGTCTGCAATTCTCTCAGCCACTTGGAGAGGGAATTGAGGAGAGTAGTCATTCTGAGGTTTGTTTAAAAGAGGAAACTGAGCCTGGCAGTCTCCATTAATAAAGGGGGAGACTTGATTCCTGGGCCTGGGCACCTTCTTCTTGGATGATCGCAAGGGCTTTTTATCCAGTTCAACGACTCAACCTGGCTGCACACTGCAGTTTTCTGGGGAGCTTTTAACAAACACTGCCGCCTGCATTCCACCCCCAACCTGTTTGATTTAAGGAGAGGGGCGCCCTGGGCATCAGGATTTTCAAAAGGTCCCCAGATGGTTCTAATGGGTAGCCAAGGTTGGGCACTGCTGCTTCTGTCGACCATACCTTGCAGTTATTCACAGGCTGTTCTGTGGGTGTCCCAGCCCTGTCCTGAAAGCAGTAAGCATTGCCTGTCTTACCTACCCTGTGGGGAGAAGTCTTGTGGGAAAAAAGATAATTGCTTCAAGGTCTTGGTTCATTGCTCTCAAAATGCTGCTTTTAAAGGGGTTCTTCTGTAACAGGTTGGGGTTTTTTTCTCATTATTATAAAAGCTCTTGTTATAAACTTGTGTTAGAAAATTCAAGAGCAGATCATTATAAGTAAGAATAAAAATCACCTATGCTGCCACCCCTCCTTTGGAACTACTAGAAGGCGGGGTCCCCACTGGACACCCAAGGAGGCAGAGCTGGGGCAGAGAAGGGAGACCTAGCTGGTGAAGCTCTGGCCCCCCACTTTGGAGATGGCCTTGGGATTTGGGGGTGCATGTTGTTCCAGTGTGCTGGGGTGACCTTTTCCAGCCACGAGGCTTTTAGGCAGGCGCTTTCGCCTCCCCATTAGGGAGCTTAGAGTCTAGCAAGGGAGACACAGTAAATAGACGGCAGTATAGATGCCTGTGTAATTAACATTGTGATCCATGCCAAGGGGAGAGGGGCAGGGGTGCACCAACAGCTGATAGGGGAGGCAGAAACCTCTGGCTCCGAAGAACAATAGAAGGTCCTCCTATCACAAGGTTAATTTTTCCATCAATGCGCAAGCAAATCAGAGCTATTTCAGCATGGAATTCAAAAAACTACCACTATTCCCAAACAAAGCAGTGATTTTTTTTTTTAAGATTTTATTTATTTGACAGAGAGAGACACAGCGAGAGAGGGAACACAAGCAAGGGGAGTAGGAGAGGGAGAAGCAAGCTTCCCGCTGAGCAGGGAGCCCGATGTGGGGCTCGATCCCAGGACCCTGGGATCATGACCTGAGCTGAAGGCAGACACTTAACGACTGAGCCACCCAGACACCCCCAAAGTGCTGATTTTTATTTAACATCTAGAGGTCCTCTAAGTTTCATCAGAGCTGAAGAAACTGCCAGATCCGCCTTTTGATGCATTTCACTGAAGGGTAATAAAGCTATGGGGGCTGGGAGAAGCACCGAATTTCGGGTTCCCATTATCCCTCCAAGCCTCCTCTACCTGGTGACCCCCACTCATGGCTCATGACTTCTGTCAAATGGCACCTCTTCCAGGAAGACCTCTCCAGGTTGGCTGGGCTCAGAGGCTCCTTCCTCTGGGCTCCACTCTAGCACTCGCACATTTATCGGGTGGTACCAGAAAGACCTGATCATGTCTGTCTGCCTCACTGGAATGTGAGCTGATCTTACTCAGTGATTTCCCAGAGCCTAGCACACTGTCCTCACGCATGTAGTTGGTGCTCCATAAGTGTTCATCTGCTGAAAGTACAGTGACAAAAGCCCATACCCCCTGTCTCCCAATAGGGATGTTCCTAGACTCCTAAAAATACTACAAAAGGACAACCCAGGTAGAATCACGCTCTCTCCCTTTTGACGGATTTTACCCTGACTGGTCTGGCTTGCCTGCTGAATGGGATTGATTTCTCAGCCTGCCTTCCAGCCCTCTGTCCCCTGGGGTCAGCTGTCCTTCCCATCTTCCCTCCTGCCACTTCCCTTGGAATTCCCAGCATGGAATTCAGCTATCAGTCCTATCCCATTTTCCTCACTTCTGCACATGTACTCACACTGTTCCCTCAGCCCAGAGTGCCTTTCTCCTTCTGCATTCTCTCACGCTTACCTGCCAACCTTTTCCAGTCCACCCTTGACTATGGGGCTAGTTTGTTCTACCTCAGGACCTTTGCATTTGCTATTCTTTCAATCAGAAATGCTCTTCCTAGAGCGTCACATTACTAATCCTTAGAATACAAGCTGGGTGACAGCAGGAACCCTTTTGTCTCTTTGGTTCACCCCTGTATCCCCAGTGCCTGGGGCAAAGGAGGTACTTCATTTATTGAATAAATGAAGAGATCCTATGATTCAGATTTTTCTTAGATCTCTGGCTCAGGCTTATAACTGTAGGTTTTTATCATTAATTATTCACTATGACTTTTACATGAGCTCAAGTCTTTTCTGGTTATTGGTGTTTTTCTTCTATCTATATCCACTGAAAATCTCAGTTGGAGTTCCCAATTGGAAATCTAAGATAATAAATATACTGGTAAGAGATAGAAGAATTTGCCTCTATAATTTTCTTCATCTACTTTATTGATTTGGGAGTGAAAATACATCTTTTAGCACTTGAAAGCCAGAGTCCCTATTTGTACAATCTTAGACATAAACATTTTTTAATGTAATGATGCAGATTTTATTTTTAAAAATTATTTAGTGCATTTAATAGAGGTGATGAATAAATCAGCTTTTATCTTTTCATCAATTTAATATTTTATATTTATCTAAAAGCATAATAAACAATAAAACTCAATGACACCGGAGATTACATTAAAGTGTAGCCATTGGATTCAGAGATCAATCAAGCTTTCTAGTTAATTGAGTTTCTATCATAGCTTTCATAGTGATAACTTTTAACCAGAGAAAACTCTTCTTAATATATTTGATCTCTTTAATGCTCTTTGGTTTTCTCCAGCTTTAATGGTAAAGTCACTGGAAGAGCTAGTTATGAAACCAAGCCATTTTCCTTGCTGAGAAATAACGTCATCACGTCAGCCTGTTTCTTGCAAAGGAGAGACTGAGTCAGTGATGGATTGAAAATGCCTTTAACCTTTTCATCCTCTGATATATTTTTAGTTCCCTTGTGGTGAATGTATTCTGTGAGTGCATTTTCACATTGCATTTGCGTGAAGAGCCAGGGCTCAGCGTATAATAAATATGTGACTCAAAGAGGCCCGCTAATAACCATATATCCATTTCTCCCTAGTAATCTTTGTTACCTCTACCTAACCTCCTTTGGCTTCATATTTTCCTCGTTTGTTACTGGCGTGAAGAAATAGAGCCCAAGGAGGATTTCTAAAGATCGTTCTGGTAGACAAATGGAATGAGGAGAAATATCTTCCAAAGGGACAGATGCAGAATTGGGACCTGCCATGTTTTGGGTGGAGTAGCAGTTCTTTTCATGGTGCTCCCTCTCAGCTTCCCCATCTGCAGAATGTCAATGACTGTGCCAGACTGGAGTTACAAAGCATTTTCGTTCTCGAAAAACAGGAATGGTACTCGATGCAGACAAGTGGAAATGCTTGCTCGTGATAACACAGGAGCCATCAGAATGTTTCAGAGCACTTTCATGAACATGAAGAAAATACAAAACTGATGTTAATTTGAGATTAGTCATTGCATTTCCCAGAGGTGAATAATTCCAACTTTGAAAGCTATGTTTTTCTTTATACATAGAAATGCATCAAAAGGTTAATAGTGGTTGCCTTTGGATGGTAGGATTACAGTTATTTAATATGTTAAAAGGGATTTTAACAAGGGCTTGTTGCCTGGCCGTGTGCTGAGGGTCATCTCCCTCAGAGCTGTGTTCTAATGGCACGACTCTGCCCCAGTCCAGGATCTGTGTGCGGCGGAGGACCACGGCTGTGAGCAGCTCTGTGTGAATGTTCTGGGCTCCTTTGTCTGCCAGTGCTACAGCGGCTTCACACTGGCCGAGGACGGGAAAAGATGTGTGGGTGAGTACTCCCCTGCCTGGTTTAATGAGGAAGGACAAGTTGAGCGCAGTGTTGCGGGGCGGGGGGAGGGGCTCCCACGAATCCAACTGCTCTCCTCTGAGTTTCAACAAAGTGCTCCGTTCCTTGGTCTAATTGTTGGTCAGAATTTGAACTCTGAAGACTTCGTTGATGGCTGAGGCTAACATGTTCTCATTCAAGGTCCTCAGCAAAAGGCAGATTTCTGATCATCTATGTAAATATGATGGTCCCTTTATATACTGCATCCCTTGAAAAGGACTGAGTGGATTTTCATCAAATTCGGAGGCAGTTTGGGATGGCCTGACTGCAGTATAGCTCATGTGCTGTTCCTGAGATTCCCTTGCTGATGGGCAAGGTTGCTGAGTGACACCTCAAAGATGGAGGCAGCCTTCCTGCTAAGTATGGATCTGCTAGCAATGGGCCCCGAGTGACCACCAGGGATGAGAGCCCAGCTGTCTGCAAGAAGATACCATTGTCAAAGGAAAGGGACAGTTGCCTCAAATGCAAGCCCAGGGAAGAAGTTTTAAGGGCAGTGCTTGGAATTTCAGGCACCCACTTGCAATCAGTTGAGTGGCTTCCCACTTGGGCAACTCCACCTTCTGTGACCTGGTGGGAGGTAGGAGAGGTGGGGGTGGCATCTGATTTCTTCAGTGAAGGATGATGGCTCCCCCCCGGCACCTGGAGAGCAGGCCAGCAGGTCCCTCATGCCACCTCCCTGTGTGCCTGCAAAGCACCTTAAGCTCACACGGTCTTATTCATTCTTCCTCCAACAAACAGTGCCTGGCAAGCAGTAGGTGTCTGATTAACTGAACACAGTACTTCTAAGGCAAAAAAACCTGGAGGCAAAGGAAGGGAAAGGACTCAACTGACATCAGAGCCGGAACCTACTGATTCTAAATCCTGCATTTTCTCTTCCATATCCTATTGTTTTCTGGGGGATATGTTGTTATGTCTTGTTCTGTCTTGCTTCCCACAGTGAATGATTATTATATTGCACACAGAATTTACATTTTCCAGCACACTTTGATTCTTAGATAAGGAAGCAGAAAGAAAAAGCAACAAAACAAAAGTATAGGTGGCATCTTCTTCGCAGGTGAGAATCAAGTGGCTTTGTTTGCTTGTTTTTACACATGATGGGAAGAAAACTGCCCTCATCAGATGTCCACAAGTGGAATTGGTCTCCTAAGCCGTAGAGGTTTTATTTATTTTTTTCTTAATCTGCTGGTGGTGACAGTGATAGGTAGCAAGTTACCACATCCACCAGCATGGGCAAAAAAACCCCAACATGCTTCATTCATTTTTATTATACAAGTAATATACTTGCATTGAGGATGAGGATTAAACAGATGAGCACTGGGTGATTTATGCAACTGATGAATTGTTGAACACTACATCTGAAACTAATAGTGTACTGCGTGTTGGATAATAGAATTTAAATTTAAAAAAGGATTAAGTAGATGAGAAAAATCACTATTAATAGTTTGTTGTATTTTCGGCCAGACTTTTCCCCATACACACATCTAATTCAAGGGGCTCCTGGGCAGCTCAGTCGGTTAAGCGTCTGACTCTTGATTTTGGCTCAAGTCATGATCTCAGGGTTGTGAGATGGAACCCCTCGGTGCAGAGCCTGCTTGAGATTCTCTCTCTGTCTCTCTCGCTCTCTCTGCCTCTCCGCCTCTCCCCCCACTCATGCACCTGCTCTAAATAAATAAATAAATAAATAAATAAATAAATAAATAAAATCTTTTTAAAAACTTATAAAAATATCTAATTCGAAACATTTTGTTAATGTTGAACAAAATGAGGTCATACTATTTATTTTGTCTAACCTATATTTTTTCCCTTACCAATAGTTCAGTGGGTAGAAACTTTGGGTGCTGTTGGGTCAGAAGGAAATCGGGCTATTGGGAATAAGGCCAGTGGATAAGCTTCAGGAAAAAGGGCGAGGGTGTCTGATTAATTGGGTGAGGGAAGGAGCAGGGAAGGTCCAGAGCTTGTGTGGGCAACAAGGAATAGATGGGGCAGGGGCAGTAGGGGCTGTGGCTGGGGCAGGAGGCCTGCCCTGGGCCTTGGGAAACTGGAGGGTGGTGAGGAACCCAGTTTTCTGAGTGTTGCCAAATAATTGCCTTATCATCCCTGTGTGGTAGAGAACCTTGGTGTCTCTAAAGGTTTTGCTGTAACTTTTGGGGTTTGACATTTGTTGAAGAGCAACAAGCATGAGCATGGAAGCTATGCTTGCCAGGGAGCTGTTGTGGGCTGTGTTTATTAAAGATGGGCTTTTCTCGGGGCTCCTGGGTGGCACAGTCATTAAGCGTCTGCCTTCGGCACAGGTCACGATCCCAGGGTCCTGGGATCGAGTCCCGCATCGGGCTCCCTGCTCCTTGGGGAGCCTGCTTCTCCCTCTGCCTCTCTCTCTCTGTCTATCATGAATAAAAAAATAAAATCTTAAAAAATAAAGATGGGCATTTCTCTTGCTGCTGCTATCAGCATGCAAGGATGTCTGCCTTTCCTCAGAGTGGGTGGGAAGAATGGGAAAATGGGAGAGACTGTGTGACCCAGGCCTCATCCATCAGATGTTCCTGTCCTTATCGTCCTCAACCAAGCACCTGACCTGTTGAGGTGCTTAAGCCATGGTGGACCTTTGTTGCCAGTTGCCTTGGTTAGGGAGACTGAGCACATCTCCAGAAGGTCAAGTGCTGCTTGATGGGGCTATGCTGAGGGCAGAGCCAGTGGCAGAAGTAAGAGAGGCTATGGAAGGTCAGAGAAGAGAGTCATTCTGATGGCCAGGGTGGGGAAAATCTGGGAAAGGAAGGAAGAGTAGCCATTAGGCAAGTGTCCAAGGCAAGGGGAGACATGAAGGGCAGTAATGGTGTGGATGGGGCAGTGTTCTCAAAGTTCAAAGCCTTATCAAAGCCTTATCTCCCAAAACAGTTCAAAGCCTGTGTTGGGAGAGGCAGGCCTTGCTGCTGGGCATGGGGAGGTGAGGGGGAAACCGTTACAGGAACGCTGGACTGAAAGCTAAGACGGCAGTCTAACCTGAGGACAGCAGTCTGAAGGGGCTTGTCAAAGATGGAGACTCTGGCTGTCATACTTAAATAGGAAATTCAGAGAAGCAAAGGCTGCTAGGGACTCTGGAAGCATTCCATCAGCAACTGGTCTGGATGGCCTGTGTGTAGATGGGAACATTAAGGATATGGGGACCATAAATCCCAGTTAATCCAGCATGATCCCAGTTTATGCCTGTTGGCTCAATTCTCAACAGCCCTCCCTTTCACTTTCAAAGGGGTTCTATTCTGGGTTGATAAATTATAGGATCACCCTAGGTAAGGCCAGCCTGGCTTAAACGGTGGAAGAGACCAACTCTGTTGAAGTAGAGAGTTCCTGAAGGTGTGAAGTAGAAGATGAAACTGAAGATACCAGCTGGAAACCTAGTGTTCAGGGCTTTGAAAATCAGTCTGAAGAGTCTGGAAGAGAGACACTGAAGGGTTTCTCACTGGGAGTGACCGATGCAAAGCCTCGTTTTAGGAAACTTCGTCTCATGGTGAACTGCAGGATGGATTCTAGAAGGAAGGAAGGAAGCTGGTGAGGGATGGGAGGACCAGTTAGGAGACTCTGGCCGTCCTCAAGGAGAGGTGACAAGAGCCAGAGTTTGAGTGATGACTGAGGAGATGGAGAGGGAAGGAGTAAGGGATGAGGAGGTGATGGAAATAAAGGGGAGGAGGAAAAGTCAGAAGTCGCTCCTGAGTTGGAGCTTCCATGACGCCGACAGATCATGAGTCGTTTTAGAGAGGCTGAGTTTGAAGTTGAGGTGGGACCCCGACAAGGACGTGTCAGGAGGGAGGAGAAAAGAGCACCCCACAATGAGGGGAGGTTAGGACCAACAATGCAGCCGGGAAGCAGCGCAGCGTGTTCCTTCCCAAATTTTCATTTCCATTTAGTTTTCACTTTAAATGCGTATTTGTGTGTGTGTTTGTTTTGACCTTTAGTACAGTAAGACCTGGGCTCCAGTCCCAGTTCTGCTGCTCACTGGTCATGGGTCATTTCATTTCTGAGCCTCCATTTTCTCATCCATACTGCAGAGTAATAATACGTCCGTCATAAAGTGTTGTGGGATTAAATAAGGTAACGAGTCAAGCTTCTGATACATGCAAGGCCATTATTACCATTATTACAGTGTATATCATCATCGTCATCCTCCTCCTCCTCCTCCTGGCTATCCTGAAGTATGGAGTGAGGAGAGAGTGAAGGCCTGAGCCTTGCTGGCCTGAGCCACATGTCTGGAGGGAGCAGGAGAGACAAGTGGGGCGGGAAAAATATCCGTGAAGGAACAGCCTAAGGTGGGGGCGGGGGTGGGGGGAAGTGGGCAAAGGAATCAGAAGTCATGGAGTATGGTGGGAAAGAGAATTTCTAGGCCAGGTCAATATTAATGTCAAGCTCCAGCGAGGCCAAAGGGAACAGAACTTAGAGAAAAAGCCTCTGAGTTGAGTCACTGATTCATCTCAGCAAATATTTCCAAACTCTCTGCCAGGCACTTTGCTGGCCATTAGGGATGCAAAGATGACCAGAAGCCCACGGATAAGGATCAAGAGGGGTGGAGCAGAGGGCAGACTTCAGGGGAAGGGGGAGGTGGTGAGACATTGGGGACAGCAAATCTAAATTATTTAGTTAGAGACGTGTGGTAGAAATTCATTTACATCCAGCTACAGGTGAATGGATGCAATGGGTTTTCGGTTTCAGCACCTTCAAAGCTGTGATTCTAGCTCTTTGACTCATCCCAGAATTATGACCGTGACCTGCATGAAAACTCAATTCTTAGCCAGACTCAGGACTTTTCAAGACAGCGTTTCCATTTTTGAGTTAGAGGGACATTAAATTCTAGTGTTGGAGTCCCATTTCCCTAACTGCTCATTTCACTCTGGACAGTACTGAATTTATTTCCACATTCAGGTGATCGAGAGTGGATTCCCAACCTAGGTCTTCCC